TGCTTTGATGAAGTGAACGGATATCAGTGTGAATGTGCAGATGGATATGAAGGAGACAATTGTGATTCTGGTGAGCTGGAAATGTTATCTTCAATTGTTCAAATTAACAAAATTTTGTCAGGTGAGAATATTATTAATTCAATACTGAATTATATTCTCAGATATAGATGAATGTCACAGTGACCCATGTCACAATGGAGGAACCTGCTTTGATGAAGTGAACGGGTATCAGTGTGAATGTGCAGATGGATGGGAAGGAGACAATTGTGATTCAGGTGAGATAAAATTATTATTTTTGTTGTTCTGTATGTGTTTTTTTGTTACAGAAAATCTTCTTTTCATGACATTATACGACATTTACTTTTTATATTTGATGGAAATATTCATGATCGTGAAAATAATTCCTTGATAACTCCATATTTAGAAATATTCGCACAACCATCTCAACCTAACTTTCAATATGTCTTAGTATGGAATGTATTTGTGAGAGAGTATTATCATTACAGGGTACTACTGCTCTAGTGGTCCATGTCAAAATGGTGCAAGTTGCAGGGACGTGTCACCGGGTTATGAATGTAACTGCTTACCTGGCTATACGGGAATAAATTGTGAAACAGGTGAGATGTTCTAAAACATTGCTATTTGTATATTTATAATAAGTTTGTGGTTTGCTTTACTTTTAAAATTGCTGTTACAGATATGGATGAATGTCTCAGTGACCCCTGTCACAACGGAGGAACATGTGTTGATGACGTGAACGGATATCATTGTGAATGTGCAGATGGTTGGCAAGGTGACCTCTGTGATTCAGGTGAGACAGCTCAAAAGAAGTAAACCGTTTGAACCTTAGTAAAGAATATAAGTACAACTCCTGGTCAAAGATCAATAACTGTGTGTTTATATTTTTAGGATTCTATTGCAGAAGTGACCCTTGTCAGAATGGGGCTATCTGTGAAGACACTCAATCAGGTTATCAGTGCTACTGTCAACCAGGGTATGAAGGGCAACACTGTCAAACAGGTATGTAGTGTTAATGTATGGGTTATAGTTTTCAAGTCAAAATACAAGACTTGACTACGTAAACAGAGAATGAAATTTTAACCTTTGATACATATGAAGGTGTGTTGATGAAGTGGGTGGTTATCATTGTCAATGTATAGACCGCTGGAAAGGTGTTAGTTGCGAGGCTGAGTATGTTTACATGAAACTAATACAGTGGGCATCTCTTGTAATTATTAATATATTAGCATTACTGTAAATCCCATAAAGAAAAGTTTTTCTTAGGTATGTACAGCTGCTCACAAAAAAAGATAATTGATTTGATGAATATTGACTCCACAGATACCGATGAATGCTCGAGTAATCAATGTGAACATGGAGGTACCTGTGTTGATGAAGTGAACGGATATCATTGTGAATGCTTGGAAGGATGGGAAGGTGACTACTGTGAATCAGGTAAGTACAGAATCCAGTTCAACAACAAAATTGAAGCGTGTCCCGCACTTTGACTTTGAATTTAGAAGTGCATCATATTGTAAGCAATAATAATGTGTTATCGAATATTTGCCTTCAGACACTGACGAATGTGAAAAGTAATTCGTGCCATAACGGGGTTACTTGTCATGATGAATTGAGTGGTTATAGATGTGAATGTGAAGACGGTTGGGAAGGGTTACGCTGTGAATCTGATGAGTAAAGCTACTTTAACACCATACTTCCAGTTAGGATTATTTGTAACATGAGAAATACAATATATTGTATGTAATATTAATGTTTTGCCACTTTATACTCAACAGACACTGACGAATGCCAGAGTAATCCGTGCCATAATGGAGGTACTTGTCTTGATGAGTTGAACGGGTTCTTATGTGAATGCGCAGATGGGTGGGAAGGAGATTATTGTCAGGCAGGTAAGATGACCATGAGTGATGAGTGAATTGAATGTAAATGGCCAGCTGATTATAGTTAGATCATGATGCTTTTCTCGCAGTGTTCCTTCTATGTTGAGTTGGCAAGGTAATTGTTGCTGTTAGTGGACTCATTAGATGCTTTGATTAAGAATGATGTTATGTTTACTTCACTTGTGAACAAAAAACAACTGGTCGACCTAATTATCGTGTCTATTTGTAGGAATACATTGTTCAAGTGATCCGTGTCGAAATGGAGGCAGTTGTGCAGATGTGTTGTCAGGGTATGAATGTCATTGCTTGCCGGAATATACAGGAGTTCATTGCGAAACAGGTAATAGTCATTGTGATTATCAGTCGTCGGTATTGCAGTGGATATGTAGTTATAATTGGTAAACGTTGCATTCGTTCAATGCTGGGTTTTCTTTTCATATTCAGCAATGCCCTGTGAAGTGGATGGTACTATATATCCCAACGGCACTGTTCTACAGTATAACGAGAATTCGTGTGATGACTGTATTTGTCTTTATGGGAAAGTTGAATGTACATACGTGAGTATCCAAATAATAGGTTCGGTTACATTAATATACTGTATAGCCACGTTTGTGTTCGTTTGCCGCATTCACGATGTCTTCCCGTGTTAATTCCACATATACGCGAACGCTGTTAACTTCACTTATACTGTACTTGTTTTCAGTACTGGGACGAGCCCACCAACTGCGCTAAAGACAGCGACTGCCGAGCGGATATGACGTGTCAAGCCCTGGAATCGGAATGTCTTCAGGACACCATGTGTGATGATGTACTTATCTGCAAAGGTGAAGGGGCCGCTCAACAGAGCGTTGAAGATAGTGCTCCATGCGCTGGACATTATACTGGTACTATATCAGAGTGTGGTGTTATGAATATACAATACGATCTCTCTGGGATTCAAGAGGTGTGTATTACGCTTGTTTATTATTAGCTCAATTGACACAAAGCACAATATTATCAGCACCGTTTGTTGTATTAACTGATATTATTGTACTTTTTTTCTTTAAGTCGGCTACCATCGCTGCACTGTGTGTTGACCTACTGACATACCTCAAGCAAAGTATAGCTGACATTCCAGAATGCGTTTCCATGAAGTGCCATGACTATGAAGGTGCTGTGGAAAGCAAACGTAGAAAACGTTCCGATACATTAGATACAAACACACAATTGGTAAGCTTATTCTGAGTTTGAAAGAAAGCAACACAATTAGAATGCCAGCACTCAATAAGCAAATTTACACAACATCCGAATCCTCAAGCAAATGTACAATACAATGAGTTTTAACTACTAGGGGATTGAATAATTCAAATATATGAAATACATATCTTCGTTGGGAAATGAATCAACCAACAACAGTTTATGTTCGCATACATTATTGACTGCTATAGTTGTTTAGCAATTAATCGCCGATATACTAACTTAGTGTACAGAATGCAATGACGATGCAGAAAGGGTGAACATTCGCTATATGCTCAAATGTAACGATCAGCTGATCAGGCTGGAGAGATATGAATGACATTCTCGAGGTGTGGGAAGTTTAAAATGTCGAAATTAAACAATTTCATGCTTACATTAACTTCTGTCTCTTTATTGTCAAATTTAAGGAAATTAAAATGGAGGGTGATGTCGATGCAACCATGGCAACACTCGCGCTAATGAATAAAGTTGAGGAAGCGTTGCGAATAGGTATAGCAGAACATACTCTACCTGGGGATCTGTCAGCGATGGAAGATGTCGTAGTTATCGTGGACGGTGGTTGGAGCGATCCAATTGAACTGTCAAATTGCACACGTCCTTGCGGAGGAGGAAATCATTTGATGGAGAGAAGTTGTACGCAGCCCCCTCCAGCAAATGGTGGCGCTGGCTGCGAAGGGGATGCGCTGTTCCTGGCATCCTGCAATGAACACGAATGCCCAGGTAAAATCATCACAAATAGTAGATGATATACACCACGCATAATTACATATCGTATTATGAAAGTAACATGGTCCATTATCCATGTTTCGATTGCTATGACTGAACATTCTGTTTTTGTTACATTGCAGAATTTGCATCAAAGTCTCCAGTCAATGGTAAGTGACGTGTTTATATAGTTACCATGGAAACAGACGATATAGATAAGATACAGATGAGCACTTTGTCGTAAATATAGTGATGACATCATTTAGCCCTATTGCACGCATGTCGTAAAAATTGCTTCCTACAAAACGATCACTAACATTGTTTACATATGAGACAAAATAGCAAATAGATAGCCAACTATTAATAGTGAATTTTGTGCTGCAATTGTGATTATGATTGTTTATTTGTTTCCTTAGATGAAAATGATGTACTCTGGGTCATACCAGTTGTTGTGGCCACTTTATTAGCAGTAATTCTGGTGTTGGTAATTCTAGTATTTTTGGTCAGAAGACGCAAGAGTGATAAGATGCCAGCTGATGAAAGAAACAATGACGACACAGCATCGGTGTTCGGTGCAGAAAACTACCTGTTTCCTGCCAGCACATGGCTAGGTCGTGAACATCGGCGTGAGAGTAACATTTACGCGGAGACGATGGGAGTAGCTGAAGCTCGACGAAAAGTCCAAGTGTCGGACAACTCACTGCACAGCGATGACGATGAAGGAATATTTCATCGATCTTCGTCCGGCTCGCTCCAGCTGACGGGCCCACTTGATGCATTGCCGTACGATCTTCAACATCCGATCACCGACCAAAATACGACCCGCGGATCGTTTTCACGATCGGTAACAATGCCCGACAATGTGTACACGGAATTCCCTGGTCGTCAAGGTGAACTCGATGGCGGTGGCATTTCTGGCACGGACACTCTTAATTCACGCATCTCACGTATATGGACACCGACAGCAGAGGAGAATATCTATAGCGATTCCCCTGTATTGAAGTTTTCACCAAGCTCCGATGAAGAAGAAGAATGATACTGCGATATTTGCTGTGGAATATTTTCTTTTCGTTGAATGATTATAATTATAGTATAATAACTGTTATTAAGAATACGTACTACTTTATCACTTTCCGCAGATAACACCACCAAAACTTGAAAAGTAGAGACAACAAAATTGAAGTTTTTTTTTAAAATCAAATAATGAATGGCATCATTTTAAATGTATAGATTTAATTACACCGGTATTTGCAATGGAAATAGAAATGTTTGTTAAGTTATCAGTTCACCATTACAAAAGCAGTTGGGTTTCGCTCAAAATCCACTCACAAATTTGAGGCTTAGTTGTTTTTTGTATTATCTTAAATAAAACTGTTATACAGTTTTGTTAAATACAATCGTATCATTACTTTCAAAATATACTCGGGTTACATTCGTACCTGTGTGACCCCGCACCTTGATACAGATTTCACTAAGGGGCATGAATTATCACACCATTCTTATATGTTGAGTATGCCATATAGATTTATGTCTATATTTACGTGTTTCTATGAAATAGATCAGTATAACTAGTAAGACGTTATCCTTTATGTAAGTTACTGTAAATGCTTTAATTATTCACTGGGTTTTAATTTCACTATTTTTACTGATAAGTAAAATCCACTAAATTAAATCTACATGAACATGTAAAATAACAATAAAACTCATTGTTTCCTTGACAACATTGTGAAATTAAAGTACAGTGAATATGCTCAAAACATAAAAATTGTGAAATTAAATGTCAGTGAAAATAAATGGTTTTACAGTATCCCCTCTTTCCCAAGTTGTACTTATGCGCTACGATCTCTTTTGTTTATATAGATTATCTGGTGTTGTGAAACAAGTTAAACAGGTTTAAAGTTTCAAATAAATTTATCGTGTGAATATATGACCGACCATGATTAAACGAAATAATGTGTGTTTTTAGCCTGATTTATAATTAGTGGATCTTTTGTTGAGATTTGTGTAAAGGTGTAATTTGAAAATATGAGTTTCTTAGAAAATTGGATTATGGTAATTATTATGCGGGTGCTACAACACAACCGGTTAAAACAACGGTTGAAAGCATTCAGAAAACTGTTACTGTACTTTGGGCTAACCGCCGAGACTCTCCTGAACAGTGTAACAAGATCACCCCTACATGTACAACATGTATACATTTGGTTGCTCATGATTGCCTCAAAGTTGAGTTTATGCTGTTTTCTCGAACGGCTCGCACAAAGCCTGTAGAAAAAAAAAATTCGCTATACCAAATTCCAAATGTAAGTGTATTGTTGATAGTAATAGTTAGATGAGTTTGCATTTTGAAAAGATGTTAGCACTAAATATAAAAATATTTGATATATATTTTAAATAACACATATTTTTTTCAACGGAAGCTTAGGATATAAGAAACAAATGAATTTTAAAAAAACGCGGAATAGCATCAATTTTGGTGTAAAATGTCGCCTGTGGCAGAGTCTAGTTGTGGCTCTCTGTGGCTCCCTAGGTCAAGAAAAGAGTGGTGCACATAGAATGTTCTCTGACGTAGGTCAGCACTCGATAATCCCACGAATCGTAAGCTGGCCAGAACTTGCTTTCCGCGCATAAGTAGTGTGTAAAGTCCGAGTATGAGGTGCTTTATATGACTTTAAATCTGTCAACCATAATTATTTATGTACTTTCTACATTTTAGTAGTTTTATACTTTCAAAAACAGTAAGCGACTTATGTCAACATTCCTACCTAAATTACGTTCTGTCGAAAAGTTATTATGCCTGTGATTTTATTACAGTACGCTGCTTGAATGTAGTATACGTGTTTACGAGTCAATCCTGTTGACTTGTCATGATATAAAATTCCCACAACTTTGCATTATTCTCAAACATCCGCCGAAATCTCATTGAGAGCGACATAGCCATGCGATTTTTTCTTTACCTTAAAATAGTTTTAAATTCTCTAAACGTCGACGCGTCCGCTATTCCGTTAATTTATGTAACCATGGTAATTGAAGTCAAAATCTCAAGCAGCTATAACCAGTTAAACTTTTTTTTAAAAATCTCACACAAACTGAATATGGTATATTGCCGATATATGTTCGGGGCGGAGCTACGTCGCAACACGTTCTATGTTGCTAAGACGCGCTCCATTGTAACATCATAATGTATTTGTTGGGGCTGTGGCGCGAGCTGCTGTGGAACGTCGGTCGAAGTGCTGGTGAAAACATCTAATGTCGATAAAACACCACAAACTCAACTATAGGAAAATTCTGAACATTTAAATGTATATATGATGCACATGTAGGGATAATCTTGTTACGCTGTTCAGGAGAGTCTCAACAACTATACTAAAGTACATTTTTTGAGAGTTTTGACGGTTGTTTTCACTCGTTGTAGTTGCCTGGTGGTGAAAATACCCAGGTATTCGCTCCCGATATTTCAAACCAATCCACGATTAAATCAAGTAGCGATTTGCAAATATACGTATTGTCTGGCGTGATAACTGCTGCCTGAGTGTGTTTTGTATGAGTCATGTATGTTTTTGTATGGATGAACAATGGATCGATGAGCAGAAAAAATAATCCGGGTGTGCATGCAGGCCACGCCTGATACACGTATGTATAATAACAGGCCACTTCCCACCACTCACCTGCTTATCTCGGTCAGTAAATGGGCCACGACATGACTTGGCTGGTCTGGTCTGGTCTAGGGAAACCGTTTTCGAGTCTCTGACCTTGCCACAAGCTAAAAAGTCTCATTAAAAATTGAGGATTGACGTAACGATCGTGGGTTCAGTGTAGGAAACACCACAAGACAGAGGGGTATTATGAGGGCGTAGCTTCTAAAAAGTTTTAAAAAGTGGTGTTAAATACTATGAAACCGATGATTTAGAAAACAGAATACTATACATGCTACTAGTCGTGATTTCTATGGTTTTAAAACATACTACGAATTTTGATTTAAATATGGTCAATCGGGACTCTGAAGAGGAATGCCAGTTCAAGTCAAATGACAAAAAGCATGATTTATTAATAACCAGGTGTACCGTCAACCAGATAACAGCCGTTCCCAACTTGCAACTATAACATTCCTTCATCACTCTGTATTATATTAACAACAGTTCAATTTCACTATAAATGTGGTCTTAGTTGCTCAGGAAAATATACAAACACGAGTTTCATTGGAAACTATGATTATTTTACATAACGGTTAAGTACTTGAAATGCTGATTGTGTTTGCTCTGGCAGTATCCCGGAGAAGGTAGTCAACCAGAATCAAAATCTACCGCCAATTTGTTGGCATTTTATGAACGTATCTCCTACTTCCAAAATTATCTGACGTTTTTTGTACGTTTGACATATTTACGACCAAATGATACAACCTGACTAGCGTGTCATATCTCTAATACACGCTAATACACAATATTATGCATAATATTACTTTTTTCTTTATTTGTTAACACCTAGAGTTAACATTCCAATGTTTTGTAATGCTGAAACCATATTCACACATTCGCCACACCACGCCAAGTGGACACCACGACGCTTTCCTTATTTGGCAAGTTTTAAAGGTCTAACCAAACACATTTTAAATTTAGCGTGATTCTGGTTATAAAAAGCATGTGTACAGTACACAGAAAATACATACTGACACTAGGTTCATAGTAGATATTTACGTTACACTGTGTGCTTGGCCCCTTTTCAGATGCCGACGCTCAGAGACAAACAGTGTACCCTACACTTTGAATAATTGATGCCTTCACCCGAATAACGATCCACAGTCCACACCCCACTACACCTCCGGTACCCTTTTTACTATTACAAGTGAAACTCTCGTCATGTACAGGATTCAATTAAAAGTCTTGTCAAATGGTATGCTATCAAGTGTTCGGTTTATTGAATGCGGTGATGTCGCCTTTCATGTACTAACAGCGCAACAAAAAGTAATGTCTAGAATACAGGATTTAAAATAAAAGAATTTCTAACTGGTAAAAACCCTAGTCTCGTCACTTATAGCCAAGCATAATTGCCACACTCCCTAAAACCACTCTATAATTAACATAATAATTGTCAATCGGGAAATATTCTGCGTTCTACAGATGTCCTAAATATTATTAAAAAATTATTTAAACAAAAATATTTTGTCTCATAAAAAAATACAATATATTAAAAATTAAAGTGGTTCCAATTATAGATTTCTAATTATTGGAATGTGTTAGACAGTTGTAAACAAGTATACCAACAAAATGCAAACGTGACCAGCGTAAAAGTGAGCACGTGTTTCTGCGTATAGAAATGGAACACTTTGACACATTTGTGATTAGTACAAAAAAAATAATGTCATATTAATCAATATTTGATTGAAACGATGGGTTGGAAAATGAGATTGGCCTCGAAGCGAACTCAGCATCCTCATCTTCGAGATACACTGTCCCACTCTCCGCTTTACACGCCGTTTCTGCCATAACTTGTCTTCCAAGATATCTATTGCTGCCACGTCTTGCTTCTGCCGATAAGGCCTGTATGCGTTCGATTTCACGAGCCTTCTTGTTCCGTCGATGGTGTCTTATTGTTATCATAGTTATGATGCCGAGTACCGAGACAGCTGCCACTGTGATCATCGTCGGTAGAAGCCACTCTATTGAACCTGTAATTAATCCCACACAGTTTAAGTGATTAAACATTTGACATAGGGGGTGACCGGTGTAAACTTTTTTTCTAGTTGTCTTATCTGTACATTTTTATTTTTCTTAAATGTGCCAACATCTTTTCTCTGCAACACTTTGCATGCAACTGATTTTCTGTGTCTGGCTTGACTTTGTTTATACAATTATATTACCCGTCCCTCATGATTTCAAAATTGTCCTTTTTACCAAATCGTCTAGCCATGATGAACAGTGGTCGCGTTGATAGGAAAGATTAGAACACAGTCTAAGAGGCACACAAAGTATCGTGGCTCTCTCTCTACCATGACGATGTTTCAGCGGCCATTTACGAATAGAATATATTGACATTGTCATTCGATTAATGAACAACCTTCTGACAATTCTATTATAAATCACAATATGAAACACTCACCAGAATCTTCAGATTTGTCTTGGTCACCAGTAAGTGCATCTATAAACAAAACATTTTTTTTTTCATAATTATAAAGTACATAATTACGACCTGGGCATAGGACATAGATAATGCAAGCTTGTGATTATGATCAATAAATGTATCAAGATAAAGAAATACTCACCGGAACATGCATGTTCGTTGCAAGGTATCTGCTGTGAGTCTTCACCCACACAGTCTAAACCACCATTGGCTGGACTAGGATTCGAACAGTCTCTTTTGATTACAAGTACACCTCCACCACATGACTCACTGCATTCAGTGCTCTCGTACCATACACCCCAACCGCCGTTAACGATGACAGTGACTTGTTGGATAGCAGAGAGCTCGCCGGGTAGAGTTCCAGCTGCTTTGTCTTGTTGGAAGGTTGATTCTATATTGTGTACAACGTCAAGGGTGGCTTCAGAACTGCGTTCGATTTGTCTGCCCACATCCTAAGTATAAATAGGTGATGACATAATTATTATATAAATAGTAACTTATATACTAGTATATGACATTTATTAGTTTTAAATACTTAATTCACTTACGATGACAACACGGAATATGGAATGTGTTTCTCGTCGACGTCTTGAACTATCTTCCCAGCAATCCACATCACTGCACGACGAAATGCCTGCTACATTATCTCGAACATACTCTCCAAACTCGTCACATATCTGAGAAGCCTGCAAATTTGATGAATGTAAATGTCTTTATAAACTGTAGATATTTTATGTATAGGATATTGAATGAGTGGAAGGCAATCGTTCATATATTGAAAGAAGCAGGACACGAGTTCATTATCTGACTTACAATAACAGCACCTGAAGTTTGTACAGGCCAATCACGTTCTACCTGGAGTTTGTACTGGCCAATCACGTTCAACTGATTACGTGGGTACACGTATTTCTGACTTTGTGTCTAGTGTCCAAATAACAGATACATATTAAAGATACTGCAGATGGACAACGTTACACTAATGAATATTTCCGACTACCCTGTGAACGTGACAAGGTTCGAATGCTAAACATCGAATTCAAGGTACATCGAAGAAGAATTTGTTGGCCTGGTAACTTGAACAATTTGACAACGGGATGTGGGAGAGTCCGTCATATTGTGTTTCCCCACATTTCTATGAATCTTTTTAACAACTCACGCATCACAATTCTTTCACGATGAAAATATTGTTTGCTCGTGAACATTCTACATGCTAATACATTGTAATATGCTCGATGTATGTTTGCCGAAGCGTGCCACTACACGTATGTCCGACATTCTGAGATCATTTCGGACTATTATATTTGAAATAAAGGAAGCTACACTGCACAGTATTGAGCGATGTCGTGATATCACGCGTTAATGGACTGTGCGACGCTCTTTGTTCACGGTATATTTATTACACACAGGTACAGTGAAGACCACAATACTATATATACTGTATTTCCTTGTAATTAACATGTGTTCAACTGAACTTGCTGACCTATCAACTTTGTGCCGATCCCCAATGATTTGACACTGACTGACACAGTTTATTATATGGTCGGAATTTGTGCATGTTCAGGTCCCAGGCGCACACAAAGCATAACGCTGCGGGACACTACGAGTCTGGGGTCACATAGCTCACATTGTCTCGTGCGCAGTTTTACGTCAATGTTGAATAAAGAAAACTGGGATTACCTATTAAATCACTTAAGCGAAATCGCAGGCTGTACACGTCGCGTGGGAACCATATTGAATTCACGGTACGACAAATCCCGTGTATACGACTTGAAAACGAAAGTTTCTTTTCCACTGATGTCAGCAAACTATATACAATTATTATAATTTTTAAACATTTGATTCAAGAACAAACGCTTTTGCCCATAGGTGATGAAATGCCGGAGTGATATATTGTAAATGGCTTCATTCCATGCACGCTACATGAACAATTCTATATACTGTGAAATACTTTATTTTAGCTGCAATTAATTTTCGCTGAAAAGACTTTTTGGGTATTTTTTTCGGAATTTATTTTCACTGTTTTCTGACGAGTTGAATGTAAAATATAGGAAAAAATGTATTCCATGGATTTTATTTTCACTGAATCATTCCTTCAGCGAAAATGAATTCCAAGTATAAGTATTTTTCAGTGTAGCCCCACAAAACATACTTACTGATCGCCCATCAACATCAATATCTACAACAACGCATCCATCCGATGAACCGTCCCGGTGATCTGCACATGGTCTGTTATCAGCCGATCTGTCTTGGATACTGTCGGAACAAATACTGCTACAAGAATCGCCAACGCAATTTACGTCCACCGGCAAGCAATTACTGTCAGATGGACAGTCAAACTCACTCTCACAGATTTGGTGGCCATTAAAGTTCTGGATAAAAAAAATAGAAAAATGTCGGAATATAAGAATAAAATGTCGTGGAACTACATGCCTCGTCACTAAATTGTATTTAGGATTAACAACGCCTGTATTTTACTTCTACACCAATTTATACAGGATGTGTTGTTGGCGTCGAAAACAGTAACGGAGGACGGATGCATTCACACTTTATAACGGTTGTGTGATGCGACGGTTACTTTGGCAACCAATTGTACGTAGTTTTAATGTAAAGATGAGCATGCGATCACGCGAGTTATCAATACGTGGGAACATATTGAGTACGAAGTTATTTCTACTTTTCAACGCCAGTTTCGGGTCACCATTTGTATTTATTCATTAGCTATTCATAAAATGTTCAATAATTTTTACAGCACGCCAACTTTTCACTTCTAGACTACTTACTCAGTATTACTTAAGATAAAACTTGCGGAACCGATAACCACATAAATACGGATATGATAGACATCAAAATCTGTCGGGACAACTATTTATTAAAGACTGTCCATAAGTATGGTTTGTAGGTTTCGTGCAAAGTAGTACGAGATATGCCGGTGGATTGGTTGAACACTCGGTCAGGGGGTGCGTACCGTTTTTAGTTGCAACATATCCCATGCTCAACATTCAACTCAAACACATTCATAATTTTGAGTTATCAAATTAGAGTAAATATGACACAGTTTGCGAACTGTCCTTTTGTAGAAATGCCTTCCGTGTTACACCACGTGCTTACTGAAAGATTGAAATGATAAGAGTCGGGTCGCGAACAATTGGGCGATGTGGGGGAGAGATGTGACCAGATGTAAAAACAAAGCTTTATATAACTTTTAACTTACAGTTTGGGCAGTGTCTGTTGTACAGTCTATGACGCTATTCCGACATGTACACGCTTCACACGTTGTTTCATCATTCGTCCAATTATGTCCGTTTGGATACACGACGCCGTCGCGTAAACAGTGCCCTAAACACATTGTATGCAAATTAGTAAAAACAAAAATAAAAAAATCTATACCTAACGATTATCATACCAGCGCGAAATTCAAAGTGAATATCTAAAAACTTACCTTCGGGTACACCAAGATTACAGAGGTTTCCTTCGCAACAGTAGTTACATTTGTTACTAACAGCGCCATCAGAACATTCCCCGGGGTTATTTAGCTCTCCGTTAATACATGCCTGTGTAGTCATGAAACAAATCAATATATAATCAATTCTGAATCGATACACCCTGAAAGTAGTTTGTTCAATTATAACAAATCTGTCTTTCATTACATAGATGAAACATTGTTTTTATACACGGGTATATTTTATTTCCGACAAAAATATAATAGATTCAGAGAAAAAAATATATATAGTTTGTCATTTCAAGGTCAGTCAAAGATTACATTATCTCTTATCAGCTGGATTAGAACATGTACGAACACAATTTCTACTCTATCAGAAATATTTAGATAAGATAAGATAAGCGCAAAACTTGATGCAACTTGAAATGTCATCTAGCTGGCATTGGCGCCTCGTGTGTCAAGTGTTGTGACTACAGCAACAGAGATATGTCTCAATGTGCTCTCAAATCCCTCCTTCAACCCACACACACACAAAAAAACATGTTATCAACTTGCGATCTGTGTAATGATAAGTGTAACCTAACAAGTTGATGATTTATAATGTACAATTGACTTCGATAAGCTAGGGTGACGATAGAAACATAACCTGTTGAGCTTTGCATACACATTGTGTGAGTTACGAGTGTGCACTGGTCGTTGAAAGCAAGCGTTTCAGTCCGTACCGTTAAAAATTAAAACTGCTATATTGGCAATAAAAAGAACACCCACCTGTTCTTGTTTGCACCCTTTGGATATCAAAATCTCTCCCTGTTTGTTCCACAATTCTGTTTCGCATCGAGGCTAGAACAAAGTGATTGCATTGGAATGTAAAAACAAAATAGAATTGCATGATATTTCAGAAGTATGAATAAAGAATCACTTCTAAACTACACTCACTGTATTCATATTGCATGTCTCTATATTATTTGCTCCAATACAGTCTTCATTATTCTTTTCATTCTTGCATGTATAACATACTTCTGTGCCACTAGCCCCAGTACTTGGCTGGTGTGCTGAAGTGGTCACGATTGCATTCGGTTCTCTAGTTGTAGTTTTTGTTGTTGTGGCCACTTCGTCTACTATAATTACAGAAACAGATATATAATTATGCACGCGTTCACATTTATTAGATTATTTCGAATAAAAACCTTACGCAGCGCGCGCTCGAATTTATAAATAAACAATGTTTTTTACACGTGTTGTATATGCCGTGTGGGACCCATATTGAACGCGACGCAACACGACGGCTGCGGCGGTAATGTCGAATCTACTAGAAGCGTCATTTTAGAGCGATGCGTGTGAGGTTTAAATTGTTGAAATAATGCCTGGTACGAAGTTTCAGTTGGATGAGCTCGCATTGTAACTGATGTCACCTTATGCCATCGCACACTAATGGGTCCACTCATTTCAATGAGACAAAATCCCTGTCTAACACAAATATTTGCACAAGAAAGCGGTAATCTAACAAAGCGTAAGTAGATGTCGTACGAATGATATTCAAGTAAAAAGGTAAAACACCCCCCGCCGATAGATAGGCCGTCACAATGTTGATGCAATATTTTGCCATTTTTGTGAATTTATTGAGAATTTCTCTGTTAATTTTAGGATAAATAGACAAATAACCCACCTTCCTCGCAATGCACCCCAGAATATCCATCGGCACAGAAGCATTCATATCCGCCAATGTTGTCTTTGCAAGTTGCGGCATGTTGGCATGGGTTGCTAGCACACTCGTTCAAATCTGCGACGAAAAAGACACAATATTTCGCCGTTGTTGTAAAAAAACAATAATTGCCAAAATATGGTTATAGAAACTTGAAATTTTCAATGATGGTGTGGTCAATTAAAAATGTGTATATTTAACAATGCCGGTGTCGATCATTTTATTAGTGGGTACAAAGTGATTAAAAATACGCCAAGAATGACAGTTTTTTGTCGATTTTCAATGAGCCAAAATTATTCGCAGCCTCTCTTTCCGTATATTTTGCATACAAAGGTATACATATTAATTATTGAAAGATTTTATTGACGACTAAAGGTGAATTAATAAATTTTGTTATTTTATTACTTTAGTGCAATGTCGTGTCATAGGCCCCACTTGATTACGCACAGGTTGAGGTACGAGGATGTTGTCTGAGTTAATCTACCGTCCAAAATCATCTAAAATATAAATGTTAGGGTGTATCTCCTACTCAGTGAGTTTTGTCTGCAATTTCACGCGAAATTCGTCCTTGTAGAGGAGGACCATCCCCCTATTTTCAAATGGAATATGCTATAAATGTCCGATGACATACAGTACGCGAATGCCACGACCTTTCAGAATTTGCATATACAACTTGGGCTCTGCACGCAAGAACTGCTTACGAATATTGTCGAAGCATTCTATAGACTAAAAGTCAACGACCGATATCGAGTTCTAGATAATTCAATGCAAATAGGTTTGATCACAGCATTTTTTTGAGTTTTGTGTTCTAACCAGACTAGGAAGTTTCTTCTTAGCACAGCGAAACTCTCACGTGATCTATATAAAATTTGGCCGACTATTAACGTGAAAAAATGCATAAAAAAGTGTTATGATATTTATGATATAAAAGTACTCGGACAATTTCCGGGAATAAAGATATTTGACTTGAGTAAGCAAACAATTTAGAATTTGGAAAGAAGAAAAGCAGTGTTTATAAGTATTGTGATTGGTCGGAAAACACTAGGTGTATTTCAATTGGAGAAAATACATAACAAGCGTACATTTATCATGTTATTTTGGTTAGTGGGTAGGAATCATTCCAATCATGAGATTTGACTTTCCTTTGATGAACTCTCAAATAATTATCTCATAATTATCGAATTTCTAGATAGATATTAGACAGAGTGGTGGTGTCAGACTTTACTTTTTCCGGAGTAAACATTCTAGGATAATTATCGAAGTTTTAAATGGGCATTAGATCAATATTAGACAGCGTAGTGATGAGGTCCAGCGGTAAATGTAATGTTTAGGTCGGTATTGGGTTTTGTTTTTTGGAGGCAGAATTCTCTGATAATTACTTTTATATCGATGTTGATTGATATCGAACACAACAATATTTTGATCCAACTTCACTTTTCTCTTCAGCTGAATTTTCTAATAATTATCGATTTTTCGTTTACATACTAATAGGGACACAATTTTAGTTTTCGCGGAGACAAATATTCTCGGATAATTATCAAATTAGTTGTTGATACTAAACATAGTGGTATTGGGTTCAATCTTGATTATTTTTTAGAGGCTGCAATCTCAGAAAATTACAACTGGAAACACCTGTGCGGAGCGAAACGACCACTTCACGTAATCACGATTGATGGTTACAGTGAGGGTTTCCTGATAAGCAGTGTGCACCAGTGCATCACGTGTCATGTGTCGTGTCAATTACACATATACTTTATAATAACATGCCAAATATTGAATTCGTCGAAACAATGACGTGTCGAATTGTCTACCTCCACGTGTCATATTTGGAAGAGCAAACGTGACATTTGAAGACAATTGGCCAAACTCTAGACCAATAAGGAATGATTGCAGTATTTTGTTTGTGGCCTGAACGCGTTAATGTCTGTTTGTAGTTATATTTAAATGTGGTATTACAGTATTCACCACTTACCCGTTTCACAATTGTCTCCATAGTAACCATTTGCGCACACGCATTCATAATAACCAACTCTGTCGATGCATGCTCCACCATTTTGACATGGACTGCTATGACATTCGTTCTGTTCTGTTGATAAGAAGTGTCCATAAAAACTATTCAGTAAATAGTTCGGTGCGTAAGCCCAAGCCTCTACTTTGCGACAACATATTACATAATGCCGAAGTGAATATATTATTACTGAGCACCAGTCGAACCACAGTGTTGTGCACTGTGTACACTAATACTGAACACTACACTGTGCACACTAATACTGAACTCTACACTGTGCACACTAATACTGAACACTACACTGTGTACACTAATACTGAACACTACATTGTGCACACTAATACTGAACTCTACACTGTGCACACTAATACTGAACACTACACTGTGTACACTAATACTGAACACTACACTGTGTACACTAATACTGAACACTACACCTTGCACACTAATACTGAACACTACACTGTGCACACTAATACTGAACACTACACTATGCACACTAATACTGAACACTACACTGTGCACACT